CAGCTTTGTTTTCCCATATTTGACTTTATTCTCTTCCCAAAAAAACAGTAATAAGAACTAAGGAGTAATAAAACCCAAAATATATAATTTTGTTGTAAAAAAGAGAGGGAAAAAAAGTGCTCTACAGGATATAACTGCAAGTGTGTTTAGGGGTGTTAAATAGCTGACCATATTAATGTTTTTGGTTGGATCATTGAACACAACTGTGTGCAGTCTCTCTGTTTGAATGTTCACTTTGTATGCTTTGATACTCTGACTTGAGCAACTATCTCTAGGATGATAATGTGTAATCTATTAACTGGTGATTTCTTAGTGTTTTTTTTTTTTTTTTTTTTTTGTAGTTCTTTATTACTTGTACTCTTAAACTGCTTTGTTTTGTTTTGGTTTTTCTCTTTTTCCTTTTAAATAAAATTTAAAAAAAACAATTATATGGTTTTCTTTTCTACTAAGAATTTTTAAGAGGATGGAAATGTAGCTCAGCATCACACAGTGCCTGGCTGGTAGGTGCAAGATTCAGAGTTTGAGTGCCACTATTGAAAAAAGCATGTAAAAAGAAAAATAAAAAAAAAACAGAATAAAGAGTTTTTATTCTCAAGCTAGGTACAGCCAGTAATCACTGCACTATGGGAATATGAGGCAGGCATATCACATGTTCAATCTCAAATAAGACAACTTCATATCCTACCAAAAATAAAACATAGCACAGTTGAACAGGAGACACAGCTCTGTGTGAAGGGTCTGTGTTCAATTTCCAGTAATAAGTAGAAAAAAACAAATTTTATTCCTAAAATTGAAGAGCATCTTATCTATGCACATGAACCAGAAACTATATTCCTTCAGTAGCAACTAATCAACAACCAAACACTATTGGCTTGCATTATTTCTAATCATTTTTCCTTGTCATTTTTCCCATTTAAGTCAAGTCACCAAAAATGGATCATTTTTATGAACTGTCAACAGCAACAACATTTCCACTTATTCTAAAATACTGTTGTTCTACAACAGAAAAAAAAACCACCTGGTAGGACAAGCAGAAATCAAAGAACTGGAACACAACATGGCAAAGTCAAGCCAGTACATACCACTGATATGCATAAATGTAAACGGTCTCAATTCACATATCAAAAGAAATAGGTTGAAAGAATGGATCAAGAAACATGATCCCACAGTATGCTGTATACAAGAAACACATCTGACCACACTGAAATTAGAAATTAATGGCAGAATAATTGTGAAACCTGTATAATTACATGGAAATTAAATCACAACCCTTTGAAGAACCAGTGGGCCACAGATAAAGAAGAAATAAAGCAATAGCTACAAATCAATGAAATGCAGACACAACATACTGTAATCTATGGGACGCAATGAAAGCAGACTTAAGAAGGAAATATATATCAATAAATTGTTATATCAAAAAAAAAGAACGACAACAAATAAACAACCTAATGCTTCATCACAAGCTTCTAGAAAAAGAAGAGTAAGTTAAACCCAAAGCTCATACAAGAGAGGAAACTGTAAAGATTAGAGCAGAAATCAATGCAATGGAAATTTAAAAAACAGTACAAAGAATTAATGGAACAAAAAACTGGTTTTTTGAGAGACTAAACAAAATTGACAAGCTTCTAGCTAACCTTATTAAGAAAAAGCCTAAATTCAGGCAATAAAGACCAAAAAGGGGGAAATTACTACAGATCCCATGCAAATTCAAAACATCATGAATACCTACTTTGAAAATCTCTACTCACATAGCATGGGAAATACAGAGGAAATGGACAGATTTCCAGAACCATATGAACTATCAAAGCTCAACCAAGAAGATACAGCAAATTTAAATAATCCGGTATCAACTATTGCAATTAAAATTATAATTAAAAACTTACCAACAAAGAAAAGCCCACATCCTGTGGATTCATGGCTAAATTCTACAAAAAATTTAGAGAACTTCTCCTTAAACTGCTTAAACACTTCAATGAAAATGAAAAGGAAGCAATCCTCCCTAAATCATTCCTGGAGGCAAGTATAACTCTCATACCAAAACCAGAGAAAGACCCAACCAAAAAGGAGAACTATAGGCCAATCTCACTAATCAACAGTCATGCAAAGATTCCCAATAAAATACTGGCAAGAATAGAATGCAGCAAAGAATCAAGAGATTATACATAATGACCAAGTGGGGTTCACTCCAGGAAGGCAGGAATACTTTAACATATGCAAATCAATAAATGTAATACAATCCATCAACAGAGCCAAAAACAAAAACCGCATGGTCGTCTTCACAGATGCACAAAAAGCTTTTGATAAAGCCCAACACATGTTCATGATAAAAACCTTTCAGATACTCAGAACACATGGTGTCTACCTCAATCTTATGAAGCCAATCTATGACAAATCAATAGCCAACATTATACTAAATGGACAAAAGCTGAAAGCTTTTACTTTAAAATCAGAAACAAGACAAGGATGTCCACTTTCACCATTCCTATTCAAATACGTTCTGGAAACACCAGCCAGGGTAATCACACAAGAGAGAGAAATAAAATGAATAAATATAGGAAAGGAAGAAGTTAAATTATCACTATTTACAAGTGACATGATACTCTATGTAGAAGACCCAAAAATTTCCATTAGAAGACTGTTAGAAATAATAAAAAAATTGAGTAGTGTAACTGGATCCAAAGTCAAAACTCAAAAACAAATAGCATTCCTGTACTCAACCAAAAAAAACTCACCGAGAGAGAATTTATGGAAATATCACCTTTCACAATAGCATCTAAAATAATGAAATACTTAGGAACCAAGCTAACTAAGAATGTAAAAGACCTATTTGCTGAAAATTATGCTACACTACAGAGGGAGATTGAAGAGGATATTACAAAATGGAAGAGTATTCCTTGTTCTTGGCTAGGAAGACTCAATATTGTGAAAATGGCCATACTCCCAAAACTGTTCTACAGATTTCATGCAATTGCAATCAGAATACCATTAACGTGCCTCACAGAGCTAGAGAAGACACTCCTGAAATTCATTTGGAAACAGAAGAAACCTAGAATAGCAAAGGCAATTCTGAGAAACCAAGGTAAGGGAGGAAGCATCTCAATTCCTGACCTGAAACTCTATTACAAAGGCACAATGATAAAATGAGCAGGGTATTGGCAAAGAAATACACCTGGGGGAACAATGGAACAGATTAGAAGATGCAAGCACAACTACAAAAACAATCAACCACCTGATATTTGACAATGGGGCTAACCATGTTCACTCTTTAATAAATGGGGCTGGAAAAACTGGCTCTCTGCATGCTGAAGACTGAACATAGACCCATGCCTATCACCAAGCACAAAACTATAAGTCTAAATGAACCAAAGACCTAAACATTAATACAGAAACCTTAAATCTACTGGAAGACCAGGTAGGCAGAAGACTTGGAGACAGAGGTAGGCAGAGATTTCATGAACAAAATGTAAACTGCATGGGAAACACGTCAAAGAATCAACACCTGGGATCTCATATTATTCAAAAGTTTCTGCACTTCAAGAGAAATCACTAACAGAGTGAAAAGAAAACCCACAGAATGGGAAACAATTTTAGCCAACAACTCCTCAGACAAAGGACTTATATCCAGAACGTGTAAAGTATTGAAAAACATCAAGCCCAAATTCAGAGACCCTCTCCAAAAATGAACATCTGAGATGAACACACATTTCTCAGATGAAGATATACAAATGGCAAATAATTACAATGATGGTGAAAGAAATGTTCACCATCATTGGTCATTCGAGAAATGCAAATTTAAACATCATCGAGATTCTCACTCCGAAAAGAATAGCTGCAATCAAGAAATCAACTGATAACAAATGCTGGCGAGGCTGTCGGGGGGGGGGGGGGGCGGGGGGGGGGAGGAACAATGCTCCACGATTGCTGGCGGGGTAGACTGACACAGGCACTATGGAAATCAGTATGGAAAATTTGCAGAAGACTAGGATTGGAAGTTCCATTCGGTCCAGTGAGTTCCCTCATTGGTATTTTCCTAGAAAAATGGAAAATGTCATATACCTGTGAGATATGTGCAGCCATGTTCATAGCAGCACAATTTGTAATAGCTAAAACTTGAAAAAAACCAAGATGCCCATGAACTGCAGAGTGGATGAAAAAGATGTGATATTTTTATACAATAGAATATTACTCAGCTATAAAAAGGTTGCTGTTGAGGCTTTCATAGACAAATGGAGACAATTTGAGGCTCTTCTCACTAATGAAATAAATAAATAATCATATTTATAAATATCACAGTGTGTCTCTAGTGTGAAATGTAATAAGAAATGTAGGAGTAGTCAAACACAAAATGTGTAATTGCTGTTGTGAAAAAGAGAGGACAAAAAACTGATCTAAAGGCTACAACTGCACGTATGTGTGACAGTACATTTGATAACCCTATTAGTAAATTTTTCTTGGAGAGCTGAAAAGAACAGTTTGCAGTATTGCTGTTTGACCAGCCACTTTGTGTGCTTTACTTTTGTAACTTGAACTATATCTAAAAGAACAGTATGTGATTTATCAACTAGTGATTTCTTACTGTTAATTATTTTTGAAATTATGTGCTATTTCTACCATTTTCCTGTTGTTTCTTTTAAATAAAAAAACACTATTGCTCTGCTTAAGTTTTAAAATAAAACCAAATTCTGAGGTTAATTTTGCTATCTTGTGCTGTTTTACACTACTGCAAAAAAGAAAGAAAGAAACCTTTTGAAACAAAAATTTTACATTTTAAAATTCAGTGTGTTCACAAATACTGTAAGTGCATAAAAGAAACTCACATCCTCTAGCATTTCATTAAAACTATCAACATTGAAAGTGAAAACATTAACTATTAAGTTATTTCAAACAGTGTATTCATGAAACACTTGAGTTTCTACATGTGGAAAACTGACCAACCAATATGTCACTGTGAACAGGAAAGTATTTCAGAAACTTTGGAAAGAAAATTCAGTGCTCTATACCTTGTTTTTTGCCTCAGCATCGGCACCATGCGAAAGCAGTTTTGCTGTTAGTGAAGACCTTGGATGAAATACCGAAAGATGCAGAGCAGTGTCGCCCTTGGCATTGGCAATATTTAGATTTGCACCATGCTCCAAGAGAATCCTAGCACAGCCTTCCTCGTAGCATTTTACAGCCTGTGGGTATTGTAATAAAGGAGACACCATCAGCTCAAGAAACTCCAAACACACTTTCCACATGCCTGGCCAAGGAGTTATATTCAAATTACACTGACTGACTTTGATTTTCAGCATTTAAATACAATCCCTCCCATGCTGAAATTGTTGGCTGCTATTTACCTTAATCAGAGCGGTGTCATAGTCACTGTCACAGGCATTAATATCACACTTGCTCTTTACCAAGAGAGTCACCACTTCTGGATGGCCATAGGCACTGGCATAATGCAGAGCAGTCCTGGGACAGTCAAGAAGATTATTAGGAAATTACAGCGCTCCCTTTCAAAATGCAAAATTATTTATGGAATTATTATGAAAATTAAATATCTTTAACAAGAAGTATTTAATTGTCTTTGAAAACATAGAATGCTTCACAGCTCTTACTGCTCACCTGTGAATGGAAGTGCAAGTGGGTAACGCTTAGTGTGGGGGATGGAAGCTGCTGTCTTGCACATAACTAAACAAGGTCCCTGCACTGCGCTACCTCCCAGCCTAGTGCAACCCACTGGAATTAGTAAGAACAGGCCTCAGATTCAGCTCAATTGGAATTTAATTTCTACCCTAAGTTCTTACTTTCTAGCCATCCTTTGGCCCTTCTGTGCCTCGGGATTCTCACCTACTAAATGAGAACTGAAGTTCTCAGTTCTCTCAGAAGACACCACTGAGATGGTTAAATAAGAATCCACACAAAATATTTAGAACAACTTGTAGAACAAATAACAGCTCAATAATTGTCAGATACTATAATGTCTACTATTACTACTTAACAAAGACAATATTTCAATTAAGTAAAATAAAATAATTAAGATGGACATTCTTTGTGGGGTTAGGATTATTTCAATAAGCCTCCAGACACTTTTTCTCATATTTTAACACCTCTGTCATTGGAAAGGCACACAAAGCTCAGAAGACAAAAGCTCTTGTGTAACTATACCTGGCAGTGTGGAAGGTCCCCTCCTGACCTTTGGAGTATGGGGGCTTTTTACTGCGTAGGATCAAACACTGTGTATGCTACTGATGTGACTCTGTAACAAAAACCAGCCTGTAAAATGTTAAGGTATACCGACCAGACTGGAAAATCCTTGCATGTGCCCATATAAGGGTGATGAAAAGACAAAAATTGAATAAAAAGGGGCTAACATGCGATACTAGGCATGAATCTGCTGAGTTAGTCTGAGCAGCAATGAAGCTGCTTCCTGGGCAAAAGGCTTCAGTATCCTGCAGTGGCTTTAAAAAGTTTTCTTCATATGGCATCATCACATGATTCATAGTAAAATCTCTAAGTACAGATAATTTCTTTATATCTTTATTTTTGAAGAAGCAAAAAGTTGTCAGAAATACCAATACACACACAGAAAAAATGAAAACTATCTGTGCTTAACTAATGTTTGTGTTTTTCCCAAGAATTATTTTATTAATAGACAACTTTCACTAGAATTTTATATTTATTTATTGTAGAAATCAAGGATGAGAGAAAGGAAAGAAGGGCACACAGAACCATTATTGCCATTACTAATCATGAGATAGTACAAAATGAAAGGCACAAAAATGTAAAAATACAGAATATTCAACATTGTTTCTGGTGCCAATGAAACTCTGTTAAGAGTGAAAAAATTAATGAGAAACTCTTAAATATTATGAGTAGAATGACTTTCTAGATAATAAAAAAGAACAGAAAATTTCACCTCTCGTTCAAATGCCTAAAAATAACAAATTTTGCCACAACTTGTATACATTTTCTGACTAACACAAGACTGCAGCCTATTTGTGTGTAGGCAAAAGTAAACTGACTCTCGTCTCAGTGGATATATCAAAGTGCATCTTTCCCTGTTAAAAATACATTCATGTGATGCCAATTTCAGTGATTATATATCACTCCATCCTGCAATGCACTGCAACTGATACAATCTTTCTGTGGATCCATCACTATGTTAAGCAACAATGAAGAAAAGCACATTTAACGTGTCTGTATGTTCTGAAGGTATTCTAGAAAGGAACTGATGAGTGGACATACGCTTTCCTAAACTGTGGTACAGTACTTGAATCAAATTTCCTATTTGAAAAAGTCATAAGCCATCTCCAATTTTAAGCAGCAGGATAAACTGCTCTTCATCCTCACAAACTCTGTAGCTGAAAAATATTTCACTCCATTGTAAAATTAAATTCTCCTTATCAGGAACACTAAACATTTCTTTTTATGTTTACAGGTCATTTGTCAAACCAACCACCTAATTTAGAGTTTGATATAGCTCAGTGGTACAGTAGGATTTGACGCTCACAGTGTGTGCTATCTACCTTTAAAGTAAATTAGTATTCAATTTTTTGATGATTTTCAAACAATCACCTTGAAAGATAAAGATACAGTTTTCATCTGATGTATCTATGATGTATATTTCATCTGATATATGGTTTATGATATATCTGTCTCTATTTTATTTTAGTTTAGTTTAGTTTTTGGTACTAGAAATCTGACTCAGGACCTCACACTTTTCAGACAGGCACAGTGCCACTGACCTATATCCCAGGTCATTGTTGTAAATGTCTTACAAATATGTTGTATTTCATTTGGTCAATGTTTTCCTAATATAAAGGAACATTTAATTTTTCTTTTGAGAGTTAATCTTCATAATGCAGGTCAGGAAGGGGATGGCTGAGTGGTAGTGTGTTTCACATGCACCAGGACCTAGCAGCAACCCCCAACACAAAAAAACGAATGCTCATTGTGACGGTCACTTCTAGGAATATGCAAATGTGTTTGCTTTTGCTAATTTTCTCATTTTGTATGATCTAAAATTTTTATTTCTATGCCACTGGAAACTTTTGTGACATAAAATCTACATTTTTTGAAATGGTTTACATTTCATTCATGTATCATTCCAGTTTTTCAACTAAAATATGTGAGGATCAATTTCTAAATTCTGACAGATATTTGAATGTTTCCAGATTTTCTATTAAGTTACATTCATTTGTCTATCTTTTGGGCTGTTAGAAAATAATTAATTTGTGAAAATAACTTACCTTGATATCTACGAAGGTGGGTCTTCACTATATTTTCTTAGTGACCCCAATGGCAAAACAACAAAGGGAAACTCAAGTGTTGCACATTTTTTTCGTTGCATAAGCAGATACACAAAAAGCTCACATTTGGGGACTAATGGAACTTTCTAGCCAAGAACATAGAGCTGCCTTCCCAATTCAGTTTCCTTATAAAGGTCCTTAGTACAGAACATACATGCACAGATGGACACTGATAGTAAATGGACACTAGGTTTTTATAAGCTTAAGTTTCGGCCCTAAATTTGTAGATTATAAGAAACATGCCACAGTTCCCTTTTTTATAATATGTACAATTCTCTTAATGTGATACTAAGAACAAAACACTACACACACATCATACCAATGTTAAATAGCTTTTCAGTAGTCAATGAAGTGGCCTACAACAGGAAGTACAAGTCCATTATAAACCAGTGGGAGGTTTGTTTTTATGTTGCAGCTTATGAGCACTGCCTGAGGATCGACCCTCTGGCCAGCTTTGCTTCCCTGGGTGTTGGGAATCCCCCTGCACCCTCCTCACCCACTCCTCCCTCCTGAGCCTGAGACCCTCGCTCTCCTGCATCATCCCAGCCCCACTCGCCGCCCCTGGTCATGCAGCCCCATTACCTGCGTTCTCTGTCTCTGTCATGGACATGGCCTGCTGTGATGAGAAACTGCACCCGGTCCTTGTTGCCCTTACGGGCAGCCTTGTGAATCTTGGGCATTGGCTCACCAAAGATGCTTTGCAATGCAACCTTGCAGTTTTTCAGAAGGCCCACAGGCCTCGATGGTCCCGGGTCCCCACTGGACAAGTTCTTCTGGGCACAGTCTATAGAGAGTGCAAGCACCTCAGGGACCCTGGACCTCTCACTGCCTTTCAGTGAAAGCCAAGCAACCCCTCATTCAACCCCTAGGCTCTAATGGCCTCTGCACATGCACATCTCCACAGCTCTGGAGCAAGCAGCCTATCGTGCACAGGTGCTGAGCAAAAAGCCTAACTATCCCCATTAATGTGGACTCACCAGATTCTAGTAATGTTGCAAGTGATTGTTTATCATCAGATTTCAAATTCTCTGATTTCTCAGCAGTCTCATAACAGGAGGCCAAACACCAATCTGAATCAAAATAGAAAGTTTGATATTTTGGAATGTAATAGTACTACAACCATAACTAATGTACAAACCCATTCCTCAGAAGCAGTCTCCCGTGTTTCTCTGCTCCACAGTATAATAATGCCTCAGGCTTACTGTGCTACACAGCTTCTGTGCTTGCCACTCACTCAGCGGAGTTTCATTATCACCACCATTTCTCATTCTTCTGTTTTCACTTACTTGAAGTATTATGATTTACCCAGCAATCTCTTTTACATACATTAATTTCTAGGACAGTTGATTTAATTCTTTAGGGAAACAAATTTCATTTCACTGCTATGAGATGTCAAATGTGTAAATAATGAGCAAATTGCATAAAACAGAGTGTGAATTAGGAAGAAGCTGTTTCGAGGACAGTGGAACTAGGGAAGGGGGGGGGGCCAATGGAAAGAAAGAGAAAAAGGATCCATTTCTTAAAAGAAATGAATCAGACATACACATATCAATATCATATTGTTTTTCTAGAGGGAGAAACTCAAAATTGTAAATCAGCACTAAACTGTGCAAGGATACTGGAAAATATTCAAATAGGAAGGGGAACAGGGTGCTGCATGAGAGGGAGAGGAAATAAAGAAAAAGGAAAAGAACAGACAGTGCTGGGGATTTAGCTCAACAGCAAAAGTGCCTGCTCTGCAAATGTAAGGCCATGAGTTCAATCCCTGGTGCCCGCACTCCCCCAAAACAACGGACAGGAGAAAATAGAGACAAGGCTTTTGTAAATAAGCAGGTTAAGGTGATCACTTGAAGGGAGAGGGAGGGACTGGGGATAAAGCAATCAAGAAATATCTTATACAGTAGAAGCTTACTCTAATGAATGTTATCCTTATGGATATCTAAAATGCACCAGTATAATCAAATGGAAAAACAAAAATGAAAATTGTCTATTGTACTATAAACACACACAATATTGTTTCCAAGACTCAAAGACATGGATGTTAATCAATATATTACTTTAAATTCTGAAAACTACAATGACATACATACTTCCATGTGCCATTGCTGTTAGATAGAATTCACTTTATAAATTTTGATAACATCACAAATTCATAAGAAAAGTGCCGGCTCTCCGGGACCTTATTGTGCCCATGTACGAACTAGTTTAGTCCAGGTCACTCGTAGTGAACCTTTGGCACATGCTCCACAGTGGGCTCTTTGCTATCACTGAAAGCCCTAGAAGGCTCACTGTCTCCAACCAAGACACACATTAGTCCCAGCGAATGGCTGGAGACAAGAAAGGAAAGCACAATGACACAATGCCGTTTTTCTTTATAAACAAAATTGTCAGACTTATAAAATTAAAGACAACTGAAAGAAAACAGGAGATAGAGAGTTTAAATAGCAGTTCGCTGTGAAGAAGCTCTTTGTCATTTGGCGTTCATGGACAATACTTATTGTTGAAATGGTGGTTTAACAGTGAATTAGAATCCCTGAAGCTCAAGGTTCTAAGAGGACAAATAATTCCAAAGGTTAAGTGCAATTCCACACTCATTCCCTATCTTGATGGGGCCTAGCAGACTGAAGTTTTCAGAAATGTAACGTCTCATCTGTCATAGTTCCAATGATTCACGAATCACAGCTCTAATGGATATTGGCATATGTGACTGCATGCTGGTATCTTACAGCTTTTTGTTCTTGTTGTTTGTTTCTTTGTTTTAGTACTGGGGATCAAACTCATGAGCTGCATTAGCCAGGCCGACACTTCTGTTGCTGAGTTAAATCTCCCGCCCCACTATTCTCCATCTTTCAGATTTAGTCTCTACTAGAGTGTCAATAGATTCAACATACTTTAATAAGAAACCTCTGTAGATTATGTAAGATCTTTTACGACTCTAAAAGGAATTCCAGCTAAAGTTTGAGAATCTTTGTTGTGAAGAATTGTATCAAACAGTCACTAAGAATGATTACGTCTGCACACTTAATAATCAAACGTATGAGACACCATATATACACACTCACACAGTCTGCTTTCGAGAAAATCTATCTGCTTGCAATCATGAATATACCAAGGCTGAGATGAAATAAAGTGGACACACAGTGGGCATATTACTAAGGAGAGCTTTACTCTAGACAAACATCAGAATCACTGTAAGCATATTTGCTAGCGGTAGTGAACTAAATCATGGGTATCAGTGAGCCACTTGCCACTATCGCCTGAGTAACCGGGACTCTGGGATGCCCAGAGGAGCCAGCTCTCTGGGAAGCACCCACACACTTTGCAAAGATCGTGGAATTTTATAGTAAGTTTTGTGGATCCCTGTGAAGTATAAGGATCCAAGCTGAAAACATTGGATATTAAAACATACGTAAACAATTCATTAAATATTATTTTCTCTTGAGCTTATTAGCACCTTATTTGCAAATATGCACACCAATAATTACACCGGCAGTATTTATGGCAAAGCCTTGCCAACATTTGGAGACAAAATGGAGATGACTGCAGGCATATCAAACAATTTAGGGTACTGTACTTCATTACAGAGGAATCTGTATTGTGACATGTACCTGGTTGAGGTGGCAGTGCATCCTTCACTCTTACTGCTTTCTTCCCATCAGAATCTTTTGTTTCCACAGCAGGCTGAATGGGATTTAAAGTAAAGTGATTACTACACACTGCATACCTCCTAAAATAGGCAGTTCGTTCAAAATACAAATATACAGTCCTTACCTTCAAGGGAAGATGTGTGTCAGGTGATTCTAAAGAGGAAAAAGGGAAAATAAACTTTAGACAGCAATATGAGAAAACCAAGCATACATTCATGAAGACTTAGGACACAGCCGAATCTTCATGCTATGCTTGGGAAATGATTACCTCAGGTTTCAGCTCCTTTCCGACTGGTGAGAACAATATGACAGAAAAATTAGAACACAGGTCAAACATGATTTCCAATGTGCCACCATACTGCCAAAGATCATAACTAAAATAGGAAGTGAGCATATTCCAATCTGTACATGTGAACTGCTGCAAAACAGTGATCTTGGGATGTCATGATCCTGAGGGGCTGACTATCAAAGCTGACAGGAGAAGGGAACAGCATATAAACTGAACAAAGCACATCATCCATTGGTACACCGTTGCATACATGTAGGTGCTCTCGAGATGTCCACCACGGCAGAGCGCACAAATGGTGTGTTCCTAATATTGTTATTTTAAAAGGTGAGATTGTGCTCCGCTATCCATGGTGCCCTTCAATTTCTGGACATGAACGATCCCTCTGCCTCAAGTTTTCAAATAGCTTGAACTCAAAGGATATGCACAACACCTGGCAACATTTTCATGTATTTCTTTTAAATATCAGTACTCTGTACACAACCATTTTGTGTGAAAGTTGGGGACATGTCTAAGGAGAAGCTGCCCAGTAAATTCTCAGTGATTTCCACTGATCCAGTGAGAATCAATCCATACAAACTGAAAGAAATTGTAAGAAATCATTAATATGTGGTTTTGGAAGCATCTTTGGGGATATGTCCTGCACATAATGACAAACACATAATTCTTGTGAATTCAGAGCAATTAGCACTAAAAGAAAGAAGTTGCATCTGAGTAGCAATCTGTAGATCTCTCCCTAGTCTTTCTTTCCACCCAGAAGCTCTAAGTCTATTGACACTCTCTCTCAAATGTATGCTAAACACTCGCCTAAATAAAATTAGTCTTCCTTCTGATCTTCTTCATAATTTTTACCATGCTTTGGTAAGACAAAGACCATGACTGCCTTGTGGATAGACACTGTTTGGTTGGCAGCTGCATTGGAGGTGTACAACACAGAGCAGATTCTACCACCAAAAGATTTCTGAAAAAGCATAATTACTATAGTAGAAAACCACGCACAGGTGCTACAAGTTGAATTAACTCTGCTACTTTATTACTTCCCTTATGCTGTTTTCTGGTTGGCATGAATCATGCAACAAGGTGAGTACGACTGCCCAACAGAAACACAGCTCCAATACTCATCAGTATTTACCCATTGTGGTTGACTCACTAGATTCCAGGAAGAGGGATAGAATCTGCATCACTGAGGGTGTTGCAAGGGGACATATATCAACAAACTTCAAATTCTATGATCTCTCAAAAGTCTTATTAGTCTGATGCAAACTCAAGTGGGAATCTAAATATAAAGTTTGATTTATGAGGATACAACGATACTACGCAGATATCGATTGTACAAATCCATTCCTCAGAAGCAGTCTCCTGTGTTTCTCTGCCCCACAGTACAATAATGCCTCAGCCTTACTGTGCTCCATAGCATCTGTGCTGGCCACTCACTCAGCTGACTTTCATTCGCACCATCATCTCTCATTCTTCTGTTTTAACTTAATAGTATTATCCCGATTTACCTTTAATTTCCAGGACTATCGATTGTTAAGTCTTTAGGACTGTGAATTTTATTTCATTGTTATTAGATATCAAATGTGTAAATAAAGAGCAAATAGTGAAAAAGGTATTGTGAAGCAGGGCAAAATTGTTTAAAGGAGAGGGGAACTAAAGAAGGGGCAAAGCCAATGGAAAGAAAGGGGGGAAAGACTCCATTTCTTAAATAAAATGAATCTAACACACACATTTCAACATCGTACTGTTTTTCTAGTGAGAGAAACTGAAAAGTGTAAATGAGAACAAAACTGTACAAAGACACTGGAAAATATTCCAATAGGAATGGGAACAGGGTGGGAGGGTAAGAGGGAGAAGAAGTAAAGGAAAAGGAAAAGAAAAAAACAACAGAGAGAACAAAATAGAAAAAAAGCTTTTGTAAATAAACAGGGTAAGGGGAGACCTTTAAGGGAGAAGAGATTGGAGAAAAAAGAATCAAGAAGTATCATATAGAGGCAGAATCTCCCTCTAATGAAGGGGATCCTTATGGGTATCTAAAATGTACCAATACAATGAATTTGATGCAATAAATTTAAATTTTCTGTTTTACTATAAACACACACAACGTTCGCCATTGGTTAGAACAATATGACAGAAAAACTAGAATATACATCAACCATGATTTCCAATGTGACATTATACTTGCAAGGACCATAACTAAAACAGGAAGTGAGCTTTACATGCTGACTGCTGAGAAAAAGTAATCTTAGCAAGTCATGACCCTGAGAGGCTGAGTGTCAGAGCTGACAGGAGAGGGGAATAGCATATAAATCGAACATAGTACATCACCCATTTGTACACCATTGCACTCCAAGTATCTGTGGTTTTGCATTTCTCCTGCACTGCAACTGGTACATAAGTTTGGTCATCATCAAGAGGAATTTAAACTTTGTGTTCTCACAAAACAGTTAGCCATACATGTTCAGCATAATAATTAATAAACCCAGTCATGTTTTCTATGTCCTTGTGGGCCATGGCTATGCCTACATTTCTTGTATCCTCAAAACTAGTTTGGCCACATCTTGAAATTTGTTGAATCCCTCATGAATGGAACATAAACCATATCTGAGACATAATGCTACATCAGTTTTCAACATTGAAATAGTTATCAAAATGCAAAAAGCTGAATAGTCAGGGAATTGTTAGATACTAGGAAACTTTTACATTTAAAATCAGCACAATATTTACTAACAGGTAACAATTTTGGCCTTCAAGGAATGAACTGAACAATGTCTCTTGGTTCATTTTTAAAGGATTTGTGTGGAAAAGCTATTTTATCAAAACTTACTTATCTTAAAAGGAGTCAGTGCTTCTATGTGCAAGCTAATCTCACGTGAACAATGATCAATTTCACAGAAAGCTCTGATGCCTGATGACTAGGCGGGAAAGGAGGAAAGTACCTGCAGTGTAAGCCAAGGCTAGCACTCCTCCCTGCTCTGAATCATCCCTGAACAGCCACAGTCTACTCTGTCACTTGCAAACACATACTCGAAAGCTGTGGGGAGGGAGTCCTCTCAGTTTGCATCATTCATTCCAAAGTTACTGTCTAGCTTTGTTCTTTCCTATCCTCCTCCCCTAATAAGTCCCTGTTCCCTTCCAAACTGACCTAGTTCTATGGTCTTGAGTGTTTCCATTTACGGCTTTTTGCGGATTATTCCTACCACTACTTTCTTTAGTTGGCAGAAATGGCAGTAATATCTTAGAATTACAACTTCTATTTCTTCTCTGTTCATTGCTTTACTCTCTCCCCTGTGACTAGAACTATTTTCAGAAATACAAACAGGAAAACAGGCACGAAATGGTTCTCTCTTGACCTTGTTATGTCTTGAACTAGTTCTTATCCAATGACTCTCGTCCAGATTTCTCTACAGGGAACTTGATACTGGCCCATCTTCAGTGGTCTGAGGATGAGTGACATGAGCATCCCTGGAGACCTTCTTAGAAACACACCACCTTAGTCCTGCTGACTCAGATGTGTGGTGTAACATGTTCCCCCACAGGGGCTTCATTTCATAACTAAAGCTCCAGGCCACAAACCTAATCGCTTCCAAATCCACTTCCCTTCCCTTCCTTCCATTTTTGGAATCTAGCACCAACTTCCTCCTCATCCTGTCAACTAAATTGAAAATGCATAACAGGCCATCCCCGTTCTAATGGACTTTTAACTGAGACTATGGCTTTCCTGAACTCAATGACTAATCATTCCTTTCTTTCTAGTTTTTGACTGTCGCATTCTGGATGTACTACTTGCTGAAATAGCAACGTTTTTAAGTGGTAAACTTTTAAATGGAACTCTGCAACCAGCATTGCGGGAAGAAGTAAGAGCGTGAACCAAGGTACCAGTGAAACTACACGTACAGCGAACAATGCTCGTTTACTTTGATCTGTAGTAAATGAAGTAGAGCTCTGTGTAATTCACTACTTCAATCCTCAATACCTTTCCAATCGTGAGAAGACGGGGAAAGACGAAAACTTCTGCCCAACCTCTCTGCAAGTTTTGTTACTCGGTGCTCAATTGATATAATTCCTATAATTCTTCCTAATGGCTCTTCCTTTTTCTAAATGATTACGTCATTTTCCCACACCCATACTTTCTCTTGCCTTTGCCTACTCCCTGTATTGTGGCTCTCTCTTTTCCCTCACTCCCTCCTCTCCTCTTAATTTTCTAACATCCCTCAGACATTAGAATGCCTTGAAACGGAGCTAAGAAGGTAGCTCCTTCAGTGACTCTCAAATTTGCCTGTGGCTGATACGTCAGGGTACATGAAACTTATTGCTGTGTTACTTCTCTTTTTTCTTACTTTGTCATTAATAAGTAGTTTTGGGGGATTCAGAACTCAGCCATGCTCCACTGTGAAATAAACATGCTGTCAAATGACTTTCTTAAAATATCACACATTTATACATATTTCTTACCTTTTCTTTTTCTATTTCCTGCCTGTTTTCCTCCATCATCTGCTTTCCCAGAAAAAGGATCGACAGGCTTCTGTGGAAAATTCACAGAGATACTCTGAGAAAATTCATATAGCAGTAATGAGTTGCACAACCATTACCTACTCATTTCCCAAGAACTTATCTGATTTTTACCATCTTAAGGCAGGCAGGTTTAATAATGGGAATCACGTACTGAGGACCAAAATGTCTCCAATGAGAGCCTTATGAGAAGCCCAGCTTCGGTCTCCACATGGGTGCTGACTTTGTAAAGCAGGCATGGAAAGCCACAGGAGGGATTCAGAGACAAAATTCCAGCTGATAAACATATTTCATCCTAACGTCGGAGGAGACAAAGTGCTCTGCACTCTCCAATGAATGGAACATTGAAACACACAGATTTAAATGAAGAAGTTTTTATGAGAGTATGTTTGTGATATACAACAATTACATTTGTTTTGGGGAACTGCTACATTCGTTATCATTTCTTCATTGCCTTGGTTCCCTTTACACCCTAACATCACTTTCCCTTCCCTGAATAAACAAATTCTTATAAATATACTTGTTACCATTCACCACTAAGCATTTCTAATCACAAAAGCCACGTCACTGTTAAAATAATTGGCCAGCTAAGAAGCTTCAGAGAGCCATGCTGAGTACAAAGAACATCGCAGGCACTGCTCCACTTGTGTAAACAAGGGCTTAGAAGAAAAACAATTATGAGTAAAACTTTTACTGCTTGAAAAGATGTTTGAAACTTAAAATATACTAATAACTTCATGTTATATTCAAGTAAGAGCACACAAATATTGGACACTATATACAACTATTTCCCAATTAAGGGAGAACTTTTTAAAAGTATAAAAAGAGCTGCAGCATAAAACCTTTTTTAATTTATTAAGTGCCCAAAACTTGCTCATACTGATTTGCATGTTTTCTTTTCTGTCTGTCGCAAAACTGTAAATAACTGTGATGAAAGTTGATGCACTTCCTGCTTTCAGGTCACTGTAGGGTGCTACAATGATAGCCAGACATGGCTCATGGCTCCCTGCTCTCTGCCCACAGTGTCCTCGAGACTTGACTGGGCTGGCTCTTTCTCACTCTTAAATTAGCAGCACTTCACACTCATTCCCATCCTTACCTCAAACTCCCTTGGAATTCTCTAACCTATGCAGGCCTGGCAGTGCACACCTGTAATTCCAAACTTCTGGAGGTTTGAGACATCAGAAGCACTAGTTCAAGCCCAGTCTGGAGAATGTGGTGACTTAGAAAGACCCTTATCTCAAGTATTAAAAGGCCTGGCGAGCTAGTGCCAGGTGAAGGCCACAGGATGGATTCAAAGTAATGAAACAAACAGTGCTCTTGTTTGTCTGAATACTCTATCATGATAGCACAAGTCCTCATCTGATGTATTCAGTGTCCCACTACCTAGTGCACAGTGGGTACAGAATAACAGAGATTTATTCAAGTTCACATTTAAAGCCTCCTCAGGGAAACCTCAAGCACCAAGCTACTCTCTTCCTATATGCTGACTCCATCAACAGTTTACCAACAGTGTTACCATTTACAAAGTAGCAATCTATATGCCCCTCTCAACTTTCTTATTGTCTTCTTCACACTATTGTTTTGTTGTTCTCAGGTTTAGGAAAAAATCTTCAATATTTATTCAGGTACTGCAAACCAACTAGAACTTTGTATAATTTTCAAAGTATTTTTACAATTTTTATCACATTTGTCCATATATATAGCTAAAAAGCAGATCATGTGTTATCTTCATGGTATAATAAGTCACAAAATCCAAATACATTAAATGATTTTTCCAAAACCAGCAGTCACTAACTGACAAAACCAGAATACTAACTGGTTTTGTGCTTCCACCACTACCCTGGTACCACAATGCAGGAGCTGCTTGGACCGAACACATTAGGCCTTTTCCTAAGTGCTCACTCTAAAACAATTTGTCAATATTTACATCTTTATCACTACAAGCATGACTGCCATAGAGACACTCAATGCATCCACATTCAACTTTGGGTTCTGTTTTTTGAAATAATGTAAAATGGATCTGTGATTATAAAGCCCTGTATTTATATCTTGAGTCCTTTCTTCTTTTGAATTATGTCATGCAGATTGACACTAAGCAACCAAAATAGATTAACAATTGTGATTCTCACTCATTATTTTGTCAAGTTAAAACCTCTAAAAATTATATCCAAACATTTTGTCTGAATCTCAGCAGAATTTTCAGCCAGTGGCCAGAGGCTGAGCAGGGAAAATTCTTCAGTTTTTGTTCAACTTAATTCCAGAATCTAAGCCGATTGCTTATGAAATCTAGCTCCTAGTTTTTGACTGCACTGGCTTGCTTGAATGAATTTTACACAGGTAGCAAAGGTGTGCTTAGCACTCCATCCATTTATTCCTTCACCTGCAGTACAAGGGATTCAACACAAGGTATTTGTATTGAGCTAGGAACCCTGTGTTTTTAACTTTTTGAGACAGATTCTTATTAATCAGCTAAGCTGGTCACAAAATTAGGAACTGTGGTTGAAAACTAAGCAAATGATTTCTTACAGGTATATGAAGACATGAGAAAGTACAGACAAATTGTCCCATTTATATTAAAATCTCAACCAATACTTATTTCAAACATAATTACAAATGATAGGCAGTACCTCAGAATCCCAAGCCATCCGTACTCCTGGTGCAAACACCGTATCTATAAAATGTAGTCAGAGACACATTAGTGAGAATATTCACTGCTGTAAAATTTGCTTATAGATATAAATATATCTACATTCATGAAGATTTCAATGAGATATGAGTCAATGTTAAAAGAATTTCAGAAGTTTGAATCAGTTTCCAAAACCTGTTGGTAGAAGGAAATTAAGACAAGTAAAATTTTAAAAGAAATGAATATCATTTTTTAGATCTACACACATTTGAAAATAATAGCATATAATTAAAAACAACTTTCACAGTCACTAATTTACCAGTTTGATGAGTTTTCTTCTCCTCATCCACATTAGTCATATTGTTAACTGATATCTCATCCAGTGCTTTTACAACAAAAGGCTTACCCTTTTTCCACGCTGTAACTTTTGACATTTCTGCTTGTTTCTATTGAAGAAAAGAAAAAAACAGTATTACAAAGCAGGCAATTGCCCAGCCACCCACTCAGTGTAATGGAAACACAATGGAAACAATCACCGAAAAAATCTATCAAATCACACGGATTACTCTGCAAAAAGCTGAAAGCACATTCTGCTTGCATGGAAGCAGACGCAGATACATGAAAACAGTGAAATGCATTTCATTCATTCTACAAATGGGGTCCAAAGACAGGCTTCTAAAGCAAATACGATCAGTTCTATCTGGAAAGCTCAGGAAAAGCCATTTCTTGTGAACAGGTGAGAAAGCACCAAGGAAGGGTGTCAAGGGCATTCAAGAAAGGACACCAGAAACAAAAGGATGGGCATGAAACAATACAGCAAAAGAGGGCTGCCCAAGGGATGTGACACAGCTGGAATACAGTTCCTGGAAGGGCACAGACAGGTGAACAGGAGCATCACACTAATTTCAGGCTGGAATGGGAACTTCCCTTGTGAAATGCAAATCTGTACATTCTCTGATATTGTAAGATCGATGCCAGAGAATAATGGGAAGCACAGCATCAAAGAATATTGTTTTTAAATGATGAGTGAGAAAATGAGTCCAGAAATGAAAAATAGTTCTCAGAATGTAGGAAGTAAGTAAATTTGATAGTCACCAAAAGGGTAGCTGGGGCCAGGAATTCTCAGCTTCAGAGATCTGGTGCCATCCAATATCATCACAGAAAGACCACAGTCAAGGCCTGCAGGAAATACATCTAACTGGAGGCCTGGGATGGAGGAGACACATTTGGAGGAGGGGAGATGATGACCTCACTCAGGAAATGATATTGGCTCAAAAGGTAAGTAACTTTTTGTAGAATACAGAAAACGGAGGCAGTAATGCTAATCTATGCACAGTTCTGAAATTCATCAGATGAAATCATGAGGGGGGAATTACAGGAGATGCCATTTTTCAATTATATACATTAACATTTGTGTTGAAGCTATAAACAAACTTTAACTGATATATGCAAATACTAACTTCTGAGACAGTACGCAAATGTGAATTTTAAAATTTAATCATAAGATTTAATACTAAGATACCCATTGAAGATTTTGAAAAAGATTCCTGTTCAAAGAAAAATCTTCCAGGATTTAATGAAATCCAGGCCTGCTGATGTGCACCTGTGGTCTGTGCTTATAGGGCAGCTCAGGCGGGATGGTCCCTGAAGCCAGGAGTCAGAAATCCAACTGGTGAATATAACCAGGTCCATTCTCATAAAGGGAAACATATTGTAAATTGTAGAAGAGAAATGGTGATGATTTACAGAAAGTGGTATTTTTAAATGCTACTACAATGTGAGGGAGAAATGGAAGGCCTTATTTGAAAATTCCTATTCCCCCAATAAATGGTATATGCCAATACTTCTAGTTTTCTATTTATTGCCATATGCAATGACAGTTACAAATGGAAGAAAGGTTGTGGGCTATTTACCACTACCTGAGAACTGAAGCATTTCCGGTAGAGAGAAAGGAAACACAATAATTTCCACAATTTTGCATTCAGTGAAACTGCTAATCACGATTCTACAGAAAAATTACACTTTGAAAAGATGCACCTAATAAACATGGAGCTGACTAAAAGAAAAGCTTAAGAGATTTTAAGATGACATTCTAACCTATGTTCAAAGTTAAAGGATACTAGAATGTACTGTGTCTTTCATTCCTCTGATTTGTTTTCTTATTTGACATAACATTAAACATAAGTCACCTGAAAGTATATATCCTAAGCACAGTATACATTTTAGGGCAAACTGAATGCACTTATTTATTACATAAATTATGCACACATTACTTGAAAAATTCTACTAGGTAGAAATCCATTTATTGGCATTCAACTGGTATTAAAATGCTTCTTAATACCAAACACCTCACTGAAAGTCTTCAGAATTCACACAAAAATCTTTCTAATCTCCAGAATCTCATTGTACTGCGGAGTTTTAAATGAATTTTTGGAAGTACAAAAACTTGTGAAACTTGAAATGTCAGAATCAGATACAGAGACTACCACTGTATATTTTTAAAGCTATAAAGCTTACAATTACTTACATCATTACCACTTGCTTTTGTAGACCATCTAGTTCTACTACTGCTTATTATTTTGAAAACAGGTAGTCTTCTATAAGATAAAATGTTTTAAAAGTGGTATCCCCTTTATGGAGGAATCACATAGAAAACACAGTGCAGGAAGGTGTAGTATACATTCAATCCAGCACTGGAGGTGAGGCTAAACATCCCAAATTCCAGACCGGACTCAAAAACAAATTCAATTAACTAAAAAAAGAGGGCAAGGGATACAGCTTCCTGCACAGGCCCTGTGATCACCTTCCAGAAACAAAAAAACAAAACAATAACAATGAAGATCCTGTAATTCCGTAGTCATACATCCCTGATGAAACACATTTTAAATTTCTAAGTTGTCACAGTTTCCGGTATTATTCTAGTCTAACAACAGAACCAATAACAGAAGCAGAGGAGCTCTCATAAAAACTGATGATAGCAAAATAAAGATTACTTAAAGGAAAAATTGTTTTATACACGGTAAGTTGTTCAAATGAAGGCACCAAACTTCCCTGATTATTGTAGGACTAATAAGATCCATAAAAGATTTATATAGGTATGAGTGCTATGAAGGTCTTGGTAGTAAGATTTTCAAGCCATGGCAAGGTCCACTTATCCAAATGATCCTTGACCAAATTTTGTATTTCCGCCATCATGGCAAAGGTTTGACAGATACAATTTTCCTGTCACTGTGTTTTCTAACCCATTATTATTTTCAGTCTCAAATACTTCAAAATATGTACCAGTTATTTACCAAAGGGGTGGAAATTCTTTTTAACTAGGCATAGTTCTCCAAAGTGATCTTCCCTGATCAATGTTCCATATAAATTTATGGTAGCTACACCACTGTTAAATTTGAAGACTAAGGGCAATACAATGCAAAACTAAGAGGAAGAAAATTAACATTACGAAAGACACTTACCTTGTTATCCAGAAGAAAGTCAGTGTCATCTGATTTAGGCCAGAAATTAACAAGACTGTGTTTGCTGGAAGAGCTGGGGAGCAAAAACACACAATAGCAGTGGGTGAGTTTCATTCTTTAAAAACTGGTGAAAGCTTGGCTATCTGTGTATCAAATGATGGTTCGTGGTTGACACAATTAAAAGTTGACTTCCAGTTTTGAAATATTTTAGATGCTTCCTTCTGTCTTCACTTCTTCCAATCTCGGAAACACTCAGCATAGTCTCACTTTCACTCCCAAAGCATGACAGCCAAGAGACCAGCACAGTCTAAAAATCATTTCTCTTTACAAATTGCCTGCTCTGAAGGCTGAAGTGAAAAATGCAATAATAGCAAACAAAAGTTGTTACCTGGACTCAAACAAGCCTGGTAACCTCAAGGTGGAAAAATACACCGTCCCCTTTCCCTGCTCTGTCTCTGGTTCAATGACTAAGCTGGATGTGATGGTTCTAATCTAGTGTCCCCTTTCATTATCCTGTGTGTGGAAGGTGTTTGGACCATGGGAACCCTATCTTCAGCATGTCCTCATCCATCTGCAAGTTCAGTAGCTCACTGTGCTCTTAGGTGGGAGGTCTGCTCTGAGGAAGGCCACTGGGTTCTGACCTGCAAGGGTAAATTCTCACCCCTGGTTCTTCAGCCCTCTCACTGCTCCCTGCCTGTGTGTTAAGGAGCTTTCCTCCACCTTGTCTCCCTGCCAAGTGGTTTCTGCCTTGGAGCCTCTTACCTGAGTCAGAATGAATCTTTCCTCCTTTAAATTGTTAGGGTTGAGCATTTTGCCCCATTAATGCCAAAGTTACTGAAAGTCAGTAAGATGCCGAGTAAGTCAGGAATGGCAGTCTTTGTTTTCTGTATGGAAGCCCCTTACACTGAGACAACTCTGTTAGTATCATTTAGCATAAATCAACACAGAGTCCTCTGCAACTGTAAAATATTTGAAGGTTAAAAGTACAAAAATCAAAGAAAAATGTGGGTGGGTGTGTGTGGGTGTGTGTGTGTGTGTGTGTGTGTGTGTGTGTGTGTTGGTCAATTTCTTCCCTGGGAAATTAAACTATTAAAATGATAAAACCCAATTGTTTTTCTTGTATGCCTTTGCTTTTTTCACCTACACATAAAGTGGTGAAACTTTCACAGACACTCTGACATTCAAGTAGGAGCTGGCTGGAAAATCAACCCTGGTAGCTGCTCCTCTGTTATTATAAATCTAGTCTAATGTCGTTTTGTAAGTGCTCTTCCTTCTGGGTTTCTCATGGTGGGGCTCCACATCAGTGTTCACTTAAATCTTCAGCCTAAGAAGGCACAGATTCCTAAAAAAAAGGATGTGCTCAAATAACCAAGAGCAGCTGCTCCTGAAAAGAAGTATTTGTGTCACAATCACCTGCCCTCAGCAGAAGCAAGGTACCACCTATCAAGAGGACACATCTGCCTTGCAGGCCTACCTTACATAAGAGGTGGAAATGAGGGACACCTGTCCTGGGTAACAGGCCCATGAAGTTCAGCTGCTTCTGGTCCCCAGTGGAGTGAGAGGCCTAAGCCACCCTCCATGAACTGAGTAGGAAGAAGGGCATGGGATATTCCTTCATGCTCTAGAGACTTCCAGGTGGCTCAGATTACCCTAACTAATCTAATACCAATTTTTAAGTTTCGCTGTTCCTCCGACTGAACAAAAAAGCAAAAATCTCTTCAGAACTCCTTTGAATCCACACTTTTAATACATTTGTCAGGATAATTCTCAGTATTCTGGGGCTTCATTTTCTGTATTATCTTTATCAGACTTGTGACAAACCTCAATATTCTGATTTGTAAGACCTCAGTCTTGCCCCACCCAATGTTGTCCTTCCAACATGCCCTTCCCCTGTGAATTCCACTCTCATGATCTCCCACTGGACATGCTGGACTTCCTCCTCTCTTCTATTATGGAAACTCTCACAGAAGGAGACATGACAAAGAGTACCAGACACAGCAAATATAAAACCTGAATACAACCTCATTTTGTCATGAACTATATTCAGATAAGTCACTTTAATATCATTGTATGTCAAATTCTCTAGGATTCAACCATGTGGCTAGAATGTTAAACAGGTTGAGCACTAGAGGATATTTTTATTGGTCTCTTAGATTTCTTAGAACCTGAAAGTTTACTTGTTTTTGACTCTGTCTAAACAACAATAGGAAATACTAAGCAGCATAAGCACTTGCCTTGCAAGAATGCAGTCGTGAGATTTGATTTCTGGTACTAAAAAAAAACCACTAAGGCAGCAGAAATAAAAAAAAAAAATACCAAGTAGAAGAAAAATTTTTTTAAAAGTCAAGAAAATATTTTACTTAAGAGGAAAAAAATCATAGAACTAGGCAGTAGTAATAGCCTGAAAGGAAAACCAAACTGGGAAATTGGTGAATAGACACATGCATTAAAAATGTCATTGCAATAAACCCTCAACATAAATAATATAAGATGATTTACATAAAGATAGTCTTAACTACCACATCTCCCCTAAGTTCTATAGTGGTAAAAACAAGAAACTGGCTATCAATTCAATCATTATCTTTAGAATAAACTCACCAACTTCTCAGGAAAACTAAGCAGACTTGACATGTCCCTTATGGTGACTTTCTACATTGATCTTAAATGACCTGCATTTGGATCCCAGCACTGCAGAGGGCAATGGAAGGCATCTGGGAGCCAGGCAGGCTAACAGTCAACACATGGGTCAGTTACTTCTTAATTATGAGACCATGGACCATTTAAATAACCTCCATTCATAAAAGCAGCCAAATTAATAAAACTGGATTAAAACAGCACAGGTACTTTGTCTGGCCTGGAACAGAACACTAAAACAATTGGTTTCTTTTCTGCATTCACTAATTAGTCACTGTACGATATTTAAAAATCTATATATTCTTACCTGATTAGAGAGTCATCATCAGAAATATCACACACTATTCAAGAAAAAGGTAAAATACATTTTGAATTAACAAAAATATAAACTATTAAAAGTATAACTCTGATGTTTTGACACAAAATAGTCTTTTGGGCTACATCTGTAGCCCATTCTATAATCAGTATTAATTATGCTATTGATATGCAATGCATTAAGAAATCTCACTTCCTATTTTTAAGAAATGCAGGGAAGAAGAGAATTTATCTACATTTGATAGCTAAATGAGCAATAGTGCTGTGCACAATCACATCCTACCTGAAGGTATTATATTGACAGAAATGGTACCATTAGCAGTATCGCTGGCATAAGCTGACATGGCAAACAAAGAGCATGACTTTCCTAGAGTAGTGGCACTAGGAACGATCATAAAAGATACACTTATTTTCTTAAGACACAAGGCAGCTGCTGTAGCATTCAGTTGGAACTGTAGAGTTTGAAGAGGAAATACTTTAGCTCAAGGAAGCTGTAAAGGGCATTCTAATTTGCAGCATGGCAAAATATGGGAAGCACACCTGAAACAAGCACCATTGCAATGATTTCCAGCTCTCAGTGGAGAAGAGCTCAGGAGAAGTCTGTGCACTTACTCTTGCTATTCCTCTCCTAGGGAAGATGCTAAGGAGCTCCCTTAGTTCTCCCTGGTTTCTCTGACATATGTGTGATGCAAACAGGGCTCAAGTTCATCTGCTATCTTACTTCCCATGGAAAGAACCACTTCAGAGCTCAAGCCCTTACAAGCTGGTCCAGTCTGAAAAGCTTAAAAGCCAGCACCGGGGAGGTTGCAACCAGCTGCCAGGGAGCACTATCTTACATGGAATAATGAAAACATACAAATGAAACCACTAACTCACTGAGCCTCTCAGAATGTGACAAGTGAAAGACAAAATTTTACGTCATGTAAACTTTGGGAAAAAAACAAAACAACACAAAGAACCAAAAGCCTCTGATTTCCCGTGACAGAGAACCTATTCATACAAAGTCAGGGCTGGGGTTGGACTCAGTGGTAAACATGTGTGCACAGCACGCACAAGACCACTGAGTCCCTAGTACTGAAGGAGTGAGGACCAATAATAATAATGATAAAATCGGTCATGTTTTACTAACTTAACATGACTTGCACTCAAAGGAAGAGGAGCATTTTGACTCACCTATAGCTTTCATTACTCCCTCATCTTACTTCCCATCTCCAGGAAAGAATGAAAGCCCTGAGGCACTTTGAGAAGCACAGCACTCGCCAGTGTCTGCCTCCATTCTCAAAGGTTCTGTCTGGACCCAACAGAACAAGGTGGTGCAGTTCGTGCTCTGAAGTTCAGCATGATGTCACTTTTGGCAACCCTCCTCATGATGAGGAATCCACATAGAAAGCAGGCCAGCTCAGCATGTGGAGCACATGCCATCAGCGCATATTCATACAAGCATGAAAAACACAAAAACTAAGGCTGGAGGTATAGCTCCATGGTAAATCATTGACCTGGAATGGCCAAAGCACTGGCTTCGGTCCCTAGCAACATCCCCAATAAGAGGAAAAAAGGCAGTTCAAGTAACAGCTTTATTGGCTACATTCAGTTAGCTTGAACAGTTACTGCTTTTAATCTTCAAAAATTATCCACTGTATCATTTCAATGAAGGAGCAGATCTGCTAAAATGATCACTGCCAGGAAAATGAAAAGTTCAGTGGTTGCAGTATTGGTGGGGTGGTGCAGGGCCAGGGAGGCAATGAACAAATAGCACAAAGGAGCTGTCTGAGGCATGACACTGCTAAAGGAAACACACAACAAATTCCAATCCACCATCACATGAAGAATGCTAACAGTGAAACTTAGTGTTAAATGCAGACTTTGGATGGGAACCAAGGACCAGTGTAAGTCATCGTCTATAACAAGTGTACTACTCTAGAGGACAGCACTGGCCATGGAGGGAGGCAACTCGTGTGAGAGGCACACAGTCTACTGGAAATCTCTGGAGCTTTCTTTCAATTTTGCTGTGAACTTAAGCCTGATATTTTAAAATGTTCATAGTGCAAAGGGTACAGTTCAGTGGAGGGGCACTTGCCTTGCATGAATGGAGTCCGAGGTCTACCAATCACTGCAAAAAAGAACGCATAGAAAATAAAAGAGAAGAAACAAAGCTATTCATTAAAGATAGTTACTAAACCCAGTACTGCAGAAGATACGGAAAGTCAGTATACCCCTGGAGATAATTACAAGATCAAAGTAGCACAGACTAGATATCATCGCCTAAACTAAAGAATAGGAAAATACGGAGAACAACATAAGTTACAAACTTGGGTGGGAAAATAATGTATAAGTGACTTAAAATTTTATTTTTAGTCACAAAAATCACTTCTCAGTGACAAGGTCATGTAGTAATATGTTATTTACTAAGTCTAATGCATTTATTGACATATTAAAACTTTATTATATGTTATTACACAGACAGTAAACATAGTGCTTTAAAACTCTTTTCATGTATAGGATTTCAGAAGTAAAAATTAATAAATGGAGTATTTTGAAATAAAAATTTTCCTATACTTAATTTCTTAAATACTTCTGAATTCTGCAGTATTAAGAAAAAAACAAGAACAAATATAAATGCAGCAGTAAATATACTACACATTTGAGTAGACCCATCAGATCTAGAACACCAACAGTTTGCCCTAATGTTAACTGCCAACGTTAGATGACAATGTAACGATGGACCACTGTAAGTCATCATCTGTAACAAGGGTACTCCTCTAGGGGCGGGCACTGGCCATGGAGGGAAGCAAAACACTTTGTGTGAGAGGGACATGATCAATCAAAGCCCTCTGGATCCTCCTTTCAACTTTGCTGTGAACCTAAGCCAGACATAAAAAACAAAGTTCTTAGTGAAAAGGGTGCAGCTCTGTGGTAGAGCACTTGCCTGACTTGAGTGGAGTCTCGGGTTGAGTGGCAACCACTGCAAAAAGGAAGACAATGAAACAGAAAAAAAAGAGAATAAACAAAGAAACAAAGAAAAAGGTATTATTTAAAGAAAGTTAATGAATCTACTAATACCATGATACAGAAATTTAGTATACAATTGGAGATAATTCAAAAACTCAGTAACAGTGTATAGATATCACCTCCTAAACCAGAGTAGGACATTATACAGAACAATACAAATTACATACTTTAGTGGGAAGATAATAATTGTTAAGTGACTTCAAATTTTATTTTTAGTCACAAAAATCACTTTTCAGTAATACAACCATGTAGTAATATTCTTTTACTAAGTCTAACACATTTACTTAAAAAATTAAAAGTTTACTCTAATGTTAGTACACACAAAGTAACCATACTAATTTAAAACTATTTTTCATGTATAGGATTTCAGAAGTAGAAATTAAAGAAGTGTAACATTTGGATTAAAAATTTCCTATAATCATCTCCTAAATTCTTCTGAATATGGAGTATTAACAAACAATTAAGAACAAACATAAATGCAACAGTAAATACCCTACACATTTGTTAGACCCATCAGATGGAGAACACTAACAGTGAACCCTAACATTAACCGCAGATTCAGATTTTAAGGATAAGGGTAGACTCATGGTAAGTCATCATCTATCACAAGTGTACTACTCTAGGGGAGAGCACTGGCCATGGAAGGAGGCAACTTATGTGTGAGAGGCACATGATCAACTGCAAATCTCTGGAGCTTCCTTTCAATTTTGCAGTGAACTTAAACCTGATATAAAAAAGCAAACTTCGTAGTGTAAAGGATACACCTCAGTGATAGCGCACTTGCCTGGCCTGAATGGAGCCACAAGAAAAGGTTGAGGCTCTGCAAAAGGGAAGACAAAAGAAAACAACACAGGAAAAAGCTGTTAATTAAATGTAGTTACCGAAACTACTACTACCATGTTACAGAAACTCAGTATATACCTGGAGATAATTACAAGATCAAAGTAGCACAGAATAGGTATCATCTCCTAAACCAAAGAATAGGAAAATATATAGAACAATATAAGTCACATACCTAGGCAAGAAAATAATTGATAGGTGACTTAACATTTTATTTTTATTCACAACAATCACTTCTTAGTGATACAATCATGTAGTAAAATGGTTTTACTAGGTCTAATGCATTTATTAAAATATTAAAACTTCACTATAATGTTAGTGCACAGATACTAGACCTACTGATTTAAAATACTTTATCATGTACAAGATTACAAAATTGAAAATTAAATAAAAGGAATATTTTAAATCATAATTTCCTATACTTCATGTCTTAAATACTTATGAATTCTGGAATTTAACACAAAATTAAGAACAAATATAAATGCAACAGCAAATACACTACACATTTGAGTAGACCCATCAGATGGAGAACACTAACAGTGAAACTAATATTAACTGCAGATTTGGATTATAATAATGGACCGGTTTAAGTCACTCTCCATAACAAGTGTTCTAGTCTAAGGGAGGGCACTGGCCATAGAGGGAGGCAACTTATGTGTGAGAGGTACATGATCAACTGCAAATCTCTGGATCTTCCTTTCAATTTTGCTGTGAACTTAAGCCTGAAATTTAAAAAAACAGTTTATAGTGCAAAGGGTACAACTCCATGGTACAGCACTTGCCGGATACGAATGGAATCTCAGGTTTTTTGGCAACCACTGCAAAAAAGAAAAGAATGGAACTGAAAAGAAAACAGAAGAGAAGAAACAAAGAAGAAAAGCTATTAATTAAAGACAGGTACTGAAACTATTACCATGTTATAGAAACTCAATGTACAATAGGAGATAATTCCAAGATCAAAGTAGCACACTATTACTATCATCTCCTAAACCAAAGAGTGGAATATTATACAAAGCCATATAAATTAAATACTTAAGTGGGAAAATAATTCATAAGAGGGGCAACATTTTAAGTCAAACACATTTGTTTAAAATGTTAAAAGTTTAATCTTAATTCACACAAAGTAGCCATAGTGATTTAAAACATTTTCATGTACAGGAATTCAAGGAAAATTAAATGAATGAAGTATTTTAGGTTATAAATTTCCTATAATTCATTTCCTAAATTCTTCTAAATATGGAGTATTAACAAAAAATTAAACACAAATATAAATTGAACTGTAAATACACTTCACATTACAATAGAACCATGAGAAGGGGAACACAAACAGTGAATCCTAACACTGACTGCAGACTTCGCTTGGTAATGATGGGCCAGTGTAAGTCATTGTCTACACTAAGTGTACTACTTTAGAGGAGGGCACTGCCTGTGGAGGGAGGCAACTCATGTGTGAGAGGCACACAGTCTACTGGAAATCTCTGGATCTTCCTTTCAA